CACACACACACACACACACACACACACACACACACACACACACACACGAGCTGGGTGAACACAGAAATAGTGCACTCTTGAGGCGAGGCTACAATTTCCATTTTTATTATTTTACACGGACGAAAAGCTGAGTCTGCAAGATCTGAAAGGTATTTGATTATCATTCCAGCTAGGAGCCAGATCACAGTTGGGATGGTGCTTCATCTCTATCAATATGACCCAGGGAGACAGGGTCAAAGGCCGGCGTGAACGGGGGTTAAACTGGGCCGACACTCACGCTCTTCTATGTCGGCGTAGCCAGGGCTGTTTTGAGGATAACTGAGAATTTCATTTTAAATGCTGTGACGCTCGACAGAGAAAAAGTAATGTGCGATAGTCTTTAAAACAGAACAGACTGTTAAAGTGAAAGCAGGTCGCTAAACCAACTGCAGCGCGAGTAGCACGCCACCTACACGTCCAGGTGGCAAAAAACTAATCTTTTAGTATTTCATCCAAAAGAGAAGGAAGGGCACGAAGTCGACCTGCAGCAGGCTGGGATTTAAAACATGAAATGCATTTGTCTTTATCATGACTGTAGGTGCCGTTTTATAAAATTAAAGTTGAGAGCTGGAACCCATAATCTATTATTCCCCCGGGTTCCTCGTCCTCCTCGCCCCCAGAAGGTCTCTCACCTTCAGCAGCTGGTCTTGCTGACTCTCCCACAGCCTCATGTCCTGGTAGAGCGTAACCGTGACTCTCTGGGGCTCGGAGCGGCAGCGCGAGCACACACCCAGCTGGGTCAGCTCGTCACACACGGGGCAGTGCAGCGTGGTGAAGTACTGGGAGATGGTTCCCTTCCTCCCGACCTCCTCTCCACCCACGGCCGAGGAGCAGGACGCCTTCTGGATCTGTGTGCAGAGGGCGGGGGGGAGTCTTAATGTGACGGAGTCTGAGTGCATTTTATCGTCCAACAACATGGTCAGAATTTGCTAGAGGAAGAACACAACCACAGCCTTCTGACTGGATCAGATTGTAAAACTGTTGACCAATGGTCACACACAATGTGAGGTCTGCCATTGTTTTGATGAGCTCTGCTCTCAGCTCCACCAGCAGAGGGCGTGTGTGCTCCGTCAGAGTGGAACCGGACTTCAGTATCGACACAAAGACGGAGGCAGGTTCGATGAGTCTCACTCGATCCTCAGCAGGAAGCACAAATGAGATTTTCTCCTCATCCTTTGTTCTCTCTCCACCAAACAGACTGAATGAAAAGACCTTGTGAGTCACTGAACATAAAACCCATTCTGGCTTATCTGTGTGTCTTTATTACGGCTTTCTTCTTTGACACTATAGTTTCCTGTGGCGTTGTTTAGTAAGTTAATCATCATTTGCATCGCTTCTAAAAAAAAAAGAAATCCTAACGGCCGCTCAATTTCCTGAAAATACAAATTGTTCTCCGTCTCACCCTGGGGAGCTCCTGGTACCAGCCGAACACGTCCACCCCGATCAGCTGGAACATGCGGCCCAGCGGCGGCAGGATCTGCTTGGTGATGTAGTACGTGGCGTTGAGGCGGAGGCCGGGGTCCTGCAGGACCTCCATGGGCCGACGCACCAGCTGGATGAGGGGCACGCCGGGCATCCCGTACACGATCACGTAGGGCACCCGCTCGCCCACGCGGGGCTCCAGCCGACGGTCGTACGCCATCATGCGCCTGAGACGGAAACGCAACACAACTTGACAATGTGCATCAGAACTGTGTGTTTGTTAAATGTTCTAAATAATATATTAAATAATGTAATAGATTCAATTGATGATCAACATCAGGAATCAACCCAGCGGATAAAACACACCAGATAAACTATTCTGCTGCTCATGAATGAGGCTCAATATTTTCCTCTTATCCGAGCCTCTGAAATCAGATTTTTTTTTTTTCTCCCCACCCATTAAGAGATGTGTTGCCTAGCAACAGACTCAGGTACTGTACATGCCGGCTAGTGCAGCCAGACAATGAGCACTGTGGGGAAGCAGTAATTGGATTCACACACCGACTACTGTAACTGTAGTTGACAGCAAGCGTTTTCTGATCTCTGCAGCCCCCCCCCCACACACACACACAGTAGTGAAACAACAGACTGTGTTTTAGTGTTGCTTTTCTGTAAATGGCCACTGACAATGTGCCGTCACGCACGCACGCACGCACGCACGCACGCGCACACGCACACGCACACACACACACACACACACACACACACACACACCTGGTGAGCTCCAGGGCGGGCACGCAGGCTCCGGGCTGGTACGAGCCGCTGCCCCGGTACTCCTTGGCAAAGGTCAGGTCCTGCATGCTGGCCCGGCCGTCCAGAACCTTCATGCACTGATGCTGCACGAACTGCTTCACCTGGCTGATGTCCCGAGTCTCAAACAGCAGCTTGATGGAACGCTCCAGAATCTGGAGGACATGATGGGTGAGAGGAGCGGAAACATGAGATGAATGAACAAAAGAAAAAAAGTGGTTGTATGAAGCTGGATTCATACGGAATATTCGTGTATATATATTAGGGGTGTAACAATACGCGTATTCGTGTTGAACCGTTCGGTATGAGGCTTACGGTTCGGTACGCATGACGAACCGAACAATACGTTTTAATAATACTAGTGCATTTGGAAAATGCAGAAGCTTAAATTGTGGGAAATATTATGTTTTCGGGGGAGCCACTGTTCTCAAACTAGCAACCCACATGACATAACGGACAGCGTGCTCTCTGACACGCCCACCACCAAAGAAAAACATTCTACTCCAGTCAGGCACTTTTGCGCTGAGACACGCTACACGAAGCTAGCTCGGTGCAGTATGGCTATAGACCAGAAATAGAAGATCCTCAAACGACCTGCAGGTCTGGTGTTTGGAGCCACGTTGGTTTCTCTGTGAACTATGAGGGCGATGGCGAGAGAGTGGTGGATAAAAAAACAACACTATGTTGCATTTGCTAAACTCCCCGAAGCATTTAAGCAGCTGTTCACTACCGAGTCGAACAGGGCTAAAGCCATCACCACGGCGATTGGTACATTTATAGCCGCGGACATGAGACCGGACTCTGTAGTGGTAAACGCAGCTTCATGAACCTGCTGAACGTTATTGAGCCCCGTTACAGAATTCCTTCACGAGCCCATTTCAGCCAAACCGTAATTCCCGCTTTGTACAAGAAAACAAAAGCACGAGTGGAGAATCAAATGTCCGAGGCACCCGCTGCTGCTCTGACAGCGGGTCCCTGGACATCGAGGGTTACACAAAGCTACCTGACTGTAACGCACATCACCTGACCACTGAATGGGAGATGAAGAGCCACGTTTACTCGGGTATAGTTCCATCATTGTTCATACTAAAATGATGATTGAGAAGATGTAAGTAACAATACTACATAACATTTTTTAAGGAGCAGTTTTTGTTTTTTATGCTTATGTGTTGCTAAGAAGATACCCCAGAAGATGAGTCACTCAGGTATAGTTCCATCATTGTTCAAAGTCAAAGAATAACTTTATGATGTTAGTTTTAATGAATAAATTTATTTTAAAATCAAGTACGTTTCTCTGGCATTTATAGTTTTCTACTGTATTGTAAACGTACCGAACCGTGGCTCCACTGTATCGTACCGAACCGAACCGTGAATTTTGTGAACCGTTACACCCCTAATATATATATATAAT